GGTTACACTTGGATACTTAGTACCTGAATATGGATATAAAGTCATCAGGTAGATTTCACTGGTAATGTTTATCACCTCTAGTGTTTAACATGAAGTACATTTTTATGCTTCCTCCTCAAATATGTCTTTTTTTTAATTTGTTGATTTTTTTGTGTGTATATTGTACAGAACATCACACACAATCTTATTCATCTATATACCCACTTCCCAAATGGCACCCTCCCATAGCCTCCCCCTTCCCACACACTGGAGCCCGTATACTCTGTCATCCCTGTTACTGTCCACTGTGTTGTCGGCACCCCCAGCCATTCCCCAGTGTTTGTCCATCTGCTGAATCTAGTTAGCCTGTCTAGAGAGCCTTGTTTTAGGAAGATCAGCTCTTCCTCATCTAGCAGTAATCAGTTGTCAATATTCCTTTAGATAAGATTGGGGTCTGCTGTTCATTTTCTCAGTTCTATGCTGGGTTACTGTCTGGGAGTCTTTTGGGCCACGGTGGCCAATAACTCAAAAGAAGGTATCTCCTGTCTGGCATTGTTTCTTGTTATGTAGCCTTTAGCTATACATATGGACTCTTAAAAAATTATATTGACCCCACTAATCTTTGGTTATATGTTCCTTTTGGGTGTTTAAGTCCCTACAGTTGGCCCAGATAAACCAACTTATTTTTACTCTTAAGGTCATTTGAGGATCTGTTTTCCTCGGGGCTAACATGGGTTTGAGAGGAGCCCCTGGCTACTATCTTCTTAAATTATGACTGCAAACTGAGCAAGTTCAGGGATGGACCCACCCCTGTATGAATATGCACAGGATCCCTGAATAAAAGCCCCAGGCTCCTTTGCAGGAAGAAGGCATTGCTTTGCTAATGATTCCTGTGTGCTCTGTGCCTGCTACAGACAATGAAACTCTCTCCAGTCTATGTTTTGGCTGTGCTTATTTTGGCTTTCCACTCAACACGTAATGAACTGAATGCGTTTGGTTACATCATCACCAGTGTTGGTGTTCTGTATAACTGCACATAAACGCTCTTAAAGAATAATTATGAGAACCCACATAGGATGAACTTACTTTTGCTGAGGAAAACACACACATAAACACACATAAACATTATTTACTAATAAAATTTGAATTCTTGGGAATGAATTCCAGAGGGGTGTTCAGGTTTCATTTGCGGTGATTCACTGGTATTGTTATTCCAGGTCAAGATGGCCCTGCAACAGGAAGGATTTGATCGCAAAAAGCGAGGCTACAGAGACATCAATGAGATTGACATCAACATGAATGATCCTCTTTTTACAAAGCAATGGTACCTGGTAAGGTTCTCCGTTATTTTTAATGTCTCTGGGTTGAGTCTCCACATAAAAGATGCACCTCTAATTCTTTGGTATTTGGTGGGTTGATAACCAGCATCCAGGTCAGTGGGCATCTCTGTGTCTTCCAATATGCTTCCAATATGTCTACCCCCTTCCATGAGTCTTGCCCCCTAAAAGTTTCCTTCCAAAACCGCTAAATAGCCATGACTTTCCAGGGTCAAAGTTACTACCAACAGCTGATTACATTGTCCTAGATTCTGAAAAGGTGTATGTTTGTGTAAGTAAAGGCTTTCAAAACTACCTAAAAGCCAAATCAAATATCTGGGAGAACTCATCTGGGGAGCTCAGTAAGCATAGCAAGGGTGATACATTGAAGTTGCAGCCACAGGAAAAAGAATCCAGTGTTTCACAGACAGCAAACTAGAGAGCTCGGAGCCTAGCAAAGGGAGGATTTCAGCACTTCCTAAAGCAATGCTAGCAAATCAATTCTGTGAGGCTTTCTTGATACTGAAATCACAGTGCTGAAACCTGCCTACCTGATGACAAGTACTTTCTGGTTTACCTACAGTCTATCATGATACATGAACGTTGGTTGAGTTCTGTTTAAAAGGAGATCAGAAACTCCAAAGCAACCCACGTTGCAGGGTGTAGTATGAGAGTGGCTGATAATAAATGTGAACAAAGGCTTACTTTGCTTACAAGTAAAAGATGATGATGAACGTAGATGATTATATGGACTGCCATATCATAGGGCTGCATTCCAGTTCCCTGCTGAGGCTTCCGGAGGCTCAGCCTTAGGCTTCTTGACCGGGAATTCTGAAAGTCCAGTTTGAGCAATGGGATGAGTTAATGTCTGCTAGTCAGGATAGGGTTATGCTCTAATTTGGTTTCTCTGTTGCTGTGATAAAACACTGACCAAAAGCAACTTGGGGAAAAGAAAAGTTTTATTTGGTTTACACATCCACATCACAGTCCACCTTTGAAGGAAACCAAGGCAGGAACTCAAGGCAGGAATCTAAAGGCAAGAACTGAAGCAGAGAACAGGAAGGACCATAGCCTACTAAACTGCTCCCCCTGGTTTGCTCCCCGATACGATACCTTTCTTATACATAGCCCTGGCCCACCTGCCTAGGGATGGCACCACCCACAGTGGGCTGGGACCTCCCACATCAATTAGCAATTAAGAAATGCCTCACAGACCTGCCCACAGGCCAGGCTGCTGGAGGAAATTCAACTGAGGTATGTTTAAGTTGTGTCAAGTTGAGAAAACCTAACCAGCACAGGTAGATTTGTTGCAATAACAAACAATTCTTAAATCATAGTAGCTTATTAAAATCAAGGCCTATTTCTCACTCTTGATACATGATCAATGATTCTTAATCACTCAGAAATTCAGGCAGACCTGAATCAGAGCTCAACCTGAACTCCATCCCAACTTCTTCCACAAGCACCCCATCAAGGACATGGAGCAAACTATATACCAACTCTTGAAACTCCTGTCTATATATGACAAATGGCACATGAGTTCACATTACAATGGCCAAAACCAATCACATCACCAGTCTGACTGAAAAACAAAAAGGTGGAGTGGTAGTCTTTAATATGTGCTTGGCAAGGCATGGCATAATGGTATTAAGATTTCCAAGGTAAATAGGACATGTTTCCTCCCACAAGTGATATTGTCATTTAGTAAAGAAACTATTCAATAAAAATTTTCAAGATAATATGTGCTAAGTTCTAAACGTAAGGTATAAACAGAGCTACGAAAGAAAGCACTTCATTCCCTGTCAGAGGGGGTTTGCTGCAATGGCATCTCCACAATTTTATATAGGATGATTTTAGATTTTTCTTTTTGTATATATGCAGAGCCAGAAATCGACCATAGGGCCTTGTGCGTGCTAAGCAAACACTGCCACTGAGCTATATCCTTATCCCTGTAGAAGGCCTTTAAAGACAGCAATCCATTTATAAGCTGCGGGGATTAGCACAACTTTTGCACATTTACATAAAACAGGAAAATCAGTTGCTGCTACAAAATAAATAGAGGTGAAGAAGGTCACTCGAAACACATTTCATGACAGATGTGGACTTTATGCTGCCAGGGACCCATGTCCAGCAAACGTGTCCCTGAATACAGTACCGAACTAATCAGATTCTCTGCTTTGAATTCCTCTATCAGATCAACACTGGGCAAGCTGATGGTACTCCTGGCCTGGACTTGAATGTGGCTGAAGCCTGGGAGCTGGGATACACAGGGAAGGGGGTGACCATTGGAATCATGGATGATGGTGAGTATCTCAAGGCCCTCGTGTCATTTCAACACGAGTGTAGCTTTGTGTGCCTCCAAACTTGAAAGTTTCTTTGTTTGGGAGAGGCTATTACAGTTCTCATACTGAGCCTGATGGTCACACTGCCTTTCAACCAAATCATCCCCTTCATCCAGATCAGTCGTCATTATTACACTTAAGGATGCCCTCAAAAAGTATGTGTTTAATGGTAAAAAAGAAACAAATGATAAGATGCCTGTCATTTAACCTTGTTCTATTGGCCTGCTGCTTGTACCTTACCTAAAAATGTCTTCGAAACCTATTTATATGGACCTTCTATTTCTCTAGAGCCACACTGTCCAGCATAGTAGCCCCTGGCTATGCATGAGTACTTAAAGTTGATTAAGTAAACCTAAATAAAAATTAAGTTATTCACAACAGTTCCATTTCAAGTTCTTGCCCATTGTTTTTCACAGTGCTGGGGATCAAACCCAGGGTCTTGCCTTGCACATGTGCTAGGCAATTGCTGTACCACTGAGCTACATCTTCAGCCTAGCATTTTGAGTTTTTGGTAGCCACATGGGCTATTTCAGCTGCTGAAATCAAATTCTATTTCAGGCGTCACAGAAAGTTCAACCAGAATGTATAGGTTTGGGTTCATGACTTAGTTTTTGTACTAACAGGATTGGCACTTAGAAAATTTGGCTTTACTGCTACTCAGAATGAGCCCCCACCAAGCAGCCTTTGATAACATCTAGATTATAGACAACCCCTATATATTATTTAACAGAGCTTTATTTTCTATAGTTTCAAAACTTTACTTTCTACGATGCAGATATGCTTGAGTTTCGTGAATTGGTGTTTTTCTAACTGCACATGGCCTTGCCTCTGGCAAGGTCCTGCAGAACCGCAGTCCCGCAGTCTCTTTGCTGGGATATGCCTCTGCCCTTCATCAGCCTGGTGGGCCTCCAGCTAAAACTCCGCTGTACATTATCAGTTTAATTACCTACAAAGCCTACACAGAAATGAAACAATGGAGCTTTTCCTTCTGAACATACTCAAAGAACACTGCTGCCTAAAAGCCAGCCTTTGAAGCAGAAATGATGGAGGAAACAAGGGACACCAGCATGTCCAAAATCTGCGTTGTCTTTGTGTGGGCTCATTAAAAGCTACCTGAAACAATGGCTCCATGTGCCTCTGATGTGTGAGATGTTCTGAAGTGGATGTAAAAGCCTTTTCTAGTGTTGAGAGCTTTCACAAGAAGAAAGGAGCTGTGTATGTGGACAGACGTCAGGGGCTTATGAATATGTTTTTCCTTCCTAACACTTTAGCTTAGACACTTTTCCAAAGCAGCTAGGGCCAGCTCACCCAGGGAAAAAAAAAAAAAGCAAAGGCAGCTAGGCTTTGAAGAAATCTACTCAGGATATGTTGTGATAACCTATTCAAACAATCTACCTACTAGGTATCCTCTACTAGAGTCAAGAGGTCACCAAAATGTGGCACAATAGTGACAATACACACACACGCACAGTCACTGCCCTGATCAACCTGATCGACTTCCACAGCAGTATAGAATCCAGTTGCAGAATTTTTTGTCTGTAGCTTCCTTGACTAACAAGATCCCGTCAAAAGACAGCAAGTGAGAAGATGCCTCGCTGTGTCCCACACTGGGAGGCCAAACCCGTTAGAAAAGCCTGAAAGAATTTCCTGTTGGATCTTAGTTCTCCTGTAGATTAGTGGTCTTTGGGATTCCCATAGTTGAAATCTCTGTCCCTCAATTAAATTTCCTGACTTCTCCACTGTTTTGGTCATCTACTGCTGCAGGGAAAAAACTCCTTAAAACTGGATAGCCTTAAAGAAAAAATAAGTTGCCATGTCTCATGGTTCTGTGAGATGATGGACTCACTGGAACAGTTCTGCTGCTGTCTCCCTGAGGTCGTCCACGCAGTTGGAGTCATGAGACGTGAACTCTACTGGGGCAGTGGAAGGAACTGGGCCTAGGGCCAGGGTCCTGAGCTGTATATTTCTGCTGAACTGTGAACATTCTAAGTGGGGATATGCATGTGGGGATCCTTGCTAGATCTCTGGGGTCTCTAAAACTTTCAGAGCTTCCTGAAAATGTGGACTGTTGGGGATTAGACTTTCTGAAAAGAATCCAAATTGCTAGCAGAATGCTAATGGTTTATGACAAAAATATAACCAAGTTCTTGTCATATGTGTGACACGTGCATTATGATTGACTGCTCACGAGTCACCACCACCTTACCCTCCCAGCCTCCGAAGCTTTACAGTGCAACCATGGACAGTTGCTGTTGTATTAACTGTCAGCTCAGTGTCTACAAGGAGGCAAGCCTCTGGACACACCTATAAGAGGTCATCTAGATCAAGGTTTGCCTCTGAGAATATCTATGAGGGATTGTATTGATTATGTAAGTTGATGTAGGAAGACCCATCTTAATTGTGAGTGGGACCATTCCCTGGCCAGGGGTGATGGACTGTATAAAATAGAGATGGAAAGGTGAGCACTAGCACACAGACAGGAATTCACTGCTCTCTGTTCTTGACTATGGACGTAGTATGACTTAGTCCTCCCACGTGCCTGCTGCTATGACTTCCCAGAAGGACAATACCCTGGAAATGTGAGTCAAATAAATCTTTCTTCCCTTAAGTTGTTTTTGTCAGGATATTTTATCACAGCAACAAGAAAACTAAGACAATTATAGAGATCAGGTTCTGTGTCTAAATCATCTAGTATTCTAAAACACACAGCTAGCCTGACATTCATTATTTACAATAAACAAGAGCATAAAAAATAGGGACACATTAATAATGTAAAATTGGAAATTAAATAAGCTGATTAAGAATATGTGTTCGGGACAGGGAAGGTGGTTCAGTCAGTAAAGTACCAGCTCCACAAACATGAAGACCTGAGTTCAGCTCTCTGGCACTCATGTAAAAGCTGGGTATAGGAGTAGACATATGTAACCACCACCCTGAGGGTCAGGAGCAGAGGGCAGTGGCTCCCTAGAGCACACTGGTGAATCAGCCTAGCTGAACCAGAGAGCTTGAAGGTCAGTGAGAGAGCCTGTCTCAAAAAATAAGATGGAGAGAAACTGAGGAAGACAACTAACATCTATGGCCTCTACACACAAGCACACATGTACATATGCATACAACATGCACATGCACACACACAAAGAATTTGTGTTCAGTGTATTCCACTTTAAAAGATAATCAAATACACAAGATCATTAGGATACTGTCTGTCAGGATGCTAGTTTCATTTACATCACTCTTACATTGTTAGAATTCTGTCTTTTATCCTTCACAATTCTATCAATAATATTTTCTTTGTCAGACCAAAGTCTATGACCATTATAACAACACTCTTCCTCTTAATCTAAGTAAAGTTTCTTTATTTTCATTAAGATAAATTTATCATGTTTTAATCCCAATTTCCTCCTGGTCTCAGGTTATCTCCTTGCTCCAATATTTTTCCTTCACATAAATTATCATTTTTCCTTGTAAGCAAATTCCGCTATCAGAACATGCAAACATATTTTTAAATTTGATTTCCAGTTAGAAAGGCATACTCTTTGTGCGCACGCACGTGTGTGTGTGTGTGTGTGTGTGTGTGATGTTTAGCTTACCATTTGTTACAAAGCTTTTGCTCAACAATGTTAAATAATTTTAACAAACATGTACAACTGAATTTCAACACTTCTTAAACCAAGTCAAATTTCCAAGTGTTTTGCTACTCTGATAATATTACTCCAGTGATGATACTACTCCAGATGATTGTATTAATTACTTTTCACTTGCTGTGATAAAATACTTTGACGAAAAGCAAGTTGGGAAATACGGGTTTAATTTGACTTACAGTTCCAGAAGAGATGCCATTCATCATGACAGGGAAGGCAGCAGGAGTGTGAGGCCACCCGGCAGTCAGGAAGCAGAATGATCACATTTGAATGATCATTTGCACACAAAAAGGAGGGAAAGAGAGAGAGAGAGAGAGAGAGAGAGAGAGGTAGATCAGGCTATAAAACCTCAACGCCCACTCCCCCCTCCAGTGACACACTTCCTCCAACAAGGCTCTACCTCCTAAAGGCTCTAAAACCTTCCTAAATATTGCTACCATCAAGAGTTCAAACATGTGAGCCTACTCTGAACATTTTATATTCAAACCACAAATTTCCAACCTTTACTCCCATAGGCTCCTGGCCACCTCATGATGCAAAATGCATTAGTCCGACTTCAAAAGTCTCCATAATCTTTAATGGTCCTAACATAGTTCAAAAGTCCAAAGTGTCTTCTGAGACTCAAGGTAATCTCTTACTATGGTCCCCAAGTAAAATCAAAACATAAATTACACCCCTTCCAACACAAAATGACACACAATATACATTCCCATTCCAAAGGGAGGAATGGAGTTATTGCAAGGAAAGACTGGACCAAAGCAAGACCGAAGCCCAGCAGAGCAAATATCAAGTTCTGTAGCTCCATCCTGGTCCCCGGCACTTTACTTTCAAAGGTCTTAGAAGGTACCACCCTGCCAGCTTTGCTGCCTACAATATACATCTCTCTTTGGAGACTGATTCCACTCCCTGTATCCAGCCCTCCTTAGCAGATACCCCATGGCCCTGACATCTCCAAAATCTTGGAGTCTCTTAGAGTGTTTACTACAAGCCAAACACTTTTCATGAATTGTATCTAAACTTAAAAAGGTCTTTGCTGGCTACTGATAGCTGCTGGGATGGGGAGAGACAGTCTCTTACAGGGATGGGACTCTTGGTAGGTTAACCAGGTTTGAGTGAATGGACCCACACTGAAGGACATTTGGGTACACAAATCAGACTCTATAGGTTGTATTATATATAACAGAATATATTATATTGAGTGGGGGTAGCAAGGGAAGTACCTATGGATAGGGGAGGGGATCTAAATACTATCAAATTATATTGTATGAAAACCACAAAAATTCAATAAAAGTTTTTGTTAAAAGGCCTTTGCAAAATAAAAAATAGTTCCATTTCAAAAATATCAAAAACAGAGCTCAGAGAGATTACATCACTCAAAAAAAGTCATAGCATGTTACAGTGTCCGACCCTGGAGCAGAACCAGAGCTTTTGCTCTCAAAGCCTGTGTTTACCCAGGGCTGCAGCCCCCTTTTCTCCTGCAGTCTTGACAGGGAAGAAAGCATGGGTAAGAAGTGAGTACCTGTACTCTCAGATTACTGTTCAGTGCCTCCCAGTCCACAGGAAAAAAAGAAGAAATTTTCTTTTGAAACATACATCCTATTAATTCAAGGGGTTTTGTTTGGTTTGGTTTCGTTTCGTTTCCTTTCCTTTCAAGATAAAGCCTTAGGACACCAGTCACAGCCCAGTAACAGTGACACAGCCTTAGTACATGTGGAGCAGAGATATCAGCTATGGGAGGCACTTAGTGATACTTCCAGTTTAAAAGTATGGCATCCCAGAATAGTTATTAAATGCATCTGCTTCCAGGCTAGACACATCACACGCATTTGTTCTTTGAGCCTTGCCCTGTTCTCACCACTAGTTGTTCAAGAAGATAGCAAACACAGAGACACCAACCAAGCAACTGGCCTGAAATCATGCCATCAGTTATAGAGGTGGTTGGAGTCACTCTGACCTGTGACTCCAAATACTTCCACTCATAACCATACTGGAAGGTAGCAAGGGCCTTTCTGTTCCCTTGGCTCTTCACTGGCTGGATGCACAGGTAAAGCAGATGCCAAGACTCTATGGTGCTGAGACCTGGATAAGAGCCTTTTCAATTGCCCCTGATATTCTACTGTGACTTCTGAGATCCAAGTATGTGATGGAGCTCAGCAGCACAAATAGGCCATAATTCCACTGTTGGAATGACTCCTGGGCACACTACAGCAGGTCCCAATTCAAGAGCAAACACAGAACTCCAGCTGAGGTGTTCTAGCCTCAGGCTTCCTGGAAAGACAAGCATCAGCTCCCAGCCAGCACCACCTCTTTCCTAATGGCTTTGCTCGCCCAGGCACATGCCTCTTATTTCCATGCTGGTGTGTGCTCTCCTAATCCATTGCTCTCCGTGCCCTGTTAAATAATCATTGCTTTTCCTCCCTAGGGGCAGCTTCATTTCAGAGTTGAAGCTAGTTGGTGCTTTAGAAATGTCAGGATTTCTAAAAATCTCTTTCAGATCACTGCTGTGATGAGCCATCCATCTCAGAGTCACTAAGCCCCTTAGTGCTGACATTTATTCGGAAGCATTATCCATGAGCCCTGAGCTCTAATTGGCTTTACTGCTCTGCAGTATGTCCGGGGCAGCTGTCTCTCCACCAAGCAAGTGGTGCAGCCCTCCTTCACCCAGAAAGGAAAGGCCAGGAGAGGCAGGGGGCTCAGGTTAGCTGCTCTCCTTCGCATTCCCTGCCACAGGTCTCCTGTACCAGTCCTATAGGGAGTGTGTGTTCTCGAGCCGAGGACACAATAGCAAATACTAACCATCCACTCCTGTGTTGTCTTTTCGTAGGAATTGACTATCTCCACCCAGACCTGGCCTCCAACTATGTAAGTACAAGCTGATTTTAAGGTGTGGGGAATGTGTGCTTTGAAGTGATCTGAGGTCCCTGGTTATTAGAAATACACTCAAGTACATGCCTATGCATGCATACACAGGAACAAGCATACATACACATGGGAGTGTACACAGGAGTACATACATGTACACATGCAGGAACATGTATACAGGTTCATGCACTCCAGCAGTCATGTACCCACAGAAGTGCACTCACACACTCAAATGTGCACACATACATACACATACACACAGAGAGAACCCATATTGTTGGAACTACTGCCTAGATATGGGGGCCAGCAGCAAGCAAAGGCGTGGCTTCGTGAGAAGGGACAGCCAAAGTTTGAAAGAATAGAGTACCAAGAAACTAGACACAGGGAGGGGCAGAAAGGACAGCAGAGCGGCAAGGCTTGAATCAACTCTAGTGGCAATCCTGAAGTGACCGGGGCACTGAGCCATCTGAGTTCTTGCTGGACAAAATCAAAAGCAAAAAGCCAAAAACTGTAGTAACTCACATTACAACCATCACTCTATGAAGAACATTGCCTTTTAAGACAATTTTAATTGTTGCTGACCAGTTCATGCAGACATCCCCAACAACATTAAAACTCGAATTTAAGATCTCTTGATAGAGAACTGTCAGCATACACACACACACACACACACACACACACACACACACACCGCACCGCAGCACATATCGCTGGGTTAGAACCTCACACTCTAATTTTGAACCCAGCAAGTCACGTGCTGTTTTCCTGATGAAACCTATAAGCCCTTTAAACACAATCACTCTCTTCATTTGAACAGCAGGGGATACAATATGCAAGTATTGGTGTGTTCATTTAAAACTGCCCCAACTGTTACTAAACTATACTTTCTTTATATATCCCTCCAGATCTAAGTAGTTGAGAGGACTTCCATTTAAAACAGGACTTAAATAAAAGATGGCTAGCAAGCAAAGTCATTTGAGGGTCAGCATTCTGGGTCCTTTGCTTAGAAGGTGTGTGTGTCTACTGTGCATACAGAAGGTGGGGGCTTTCCATGTGTTTTGTGTACTGGGCATCAGGAAATAGGACAGTGACGTTTTTGTATTTGTTGCATAGATCTTAGCAATCTAGGAGCATGCAAATAGAGCTGAACATCTTTTTTAGTGTTCAAAAAATGTGAAATGAATCTTTGACACAGTCCAGTCACTGTGGCCTGAAGAGAAATGACAGAATTTAAGCCAAAGCTTTATGCCAAGTGATGATAACCCACTGCTATGAAGACAGTAATAGAGTGCCTGGGAGAAGCAGTCTGCTCCAGCGATCCTGCGCGTGTCTAGGAAACCATCTAGGAAGCTGGTCTCTATCCCTGTCACTGTGGCCACGTGCCTCACTGCTAATGCACTTGTGTCTGCTTAGGTGTTCATTTAACTTTCCTGAAATGGTCAAGTCTCCTGACCTTGGTCAGTTCTTCCAGTGCCTCTCTTTTCTGCATCCTCCACAACTATAAGACCCTGAAATGTCGCTGAAGGGGAGATTGAGAAGTGGATATGTTCTGTTCTCTGCAGTGATCTGGTATCCCAGGTCCTTCAAGAGGGAATACTACTCTGCAGGATAGAACAAATCAGCTGGGAGAGCTGCCTGATTTCACAGAGGCACTGGTATTTCCCATAATTCCCTTTACCTCCAAAGCCCAGAGCCTCCAGGGTAGCCACATGGGGCTCTATTCACTTTCTTAAATATCGCCTTCTTCCCTCTTGGAGGACCCCAAGGTGTGAGGTGGCTGTCCATTGGCTGGAAAGCTGATGGCAAACAGCATTTCTGCTGTGCACCAGATCTGGCTCCACAAAAGCCCAGGGCACCGTGAGTGACCTCCATACCCTTTCCTTCTCTCCACCACTCCATGCCAGTTGCCACACTAAAAAGAGATCCTGATTCATGTGGGGGAAACTCTCTGGGGATCTGATGAGCTGCAGGTACAATACTGGTGGACAGTGCCACCCACCTGCCTAAATCCGCACCGGAATCTGGGAACTGAAGCCTCACGTGATAAGTGCTGGCCATGCTCAGACCAGCGATATCAGAAATACCTGGAGACCTCCAAGGGCTGCGAGTGCTAAACTCTTTCCTCTTCATTTCTTTCCCAAAAATATTTTTTTTCTAATTAAAGGATAAGTACATATCCTCTGTAAAATTTTGGAAAAGCATAAGATTTAAAACCAGCCACAATACTATCGATCTTAATATTTTGGACTTTTTTCTATATTTTTCATAAAATTGTATTCTGGCTACATATATAGTATTCCCACATCTACTTGATATGTGATGGAAATGTTTGTGTCATTAAATGCCTTCATTATTTTAAGGGCAATGTAACATTGCCTCACACCATAGGCACTGCAGTCTCCAATTGTTCGACAGTTAGAGTGTTTCCCAGTGGGTACCTCAGTCTAGAAGAAAACACGATGGGTATGGGTGTGAGTGGGGCTCCATAACCCACTCAGGAGCTTAAGAACTGGAAGCACTGATTCTGGAAAAGACAAGACAGTGTAAAAGGCATGTTAAGTATGTTTTCAAATATTTTAATCTGCACTGTGGAATGAGATGGTCTACATATTCAGTCATTTTCCTCAGGCCAATTCCCACCAATGTGAGGGACTTCTAGCTCACTTCAAGGGAGAACTGTCTTGTGACTGAGGTCAGTAACTACATGGGAGGCATGGGTTCTTCAGATCTGAAAATATGGAGCATGATGTGGCAATTGGAAGGGGATGCTGGAGAGGCAATATGTACACTAACCCTAACCTATTAGATGATATGTAATAATTGAATAGAAAACGTGATTTCTGTGGAAATGCATGCATCTTGATCATTATCATTGAGAGTGGTCTGAACCCTTAACATTTATCAAACACTTGGAACATTCCAAAGCATGAGTAAGCATTTCTACATGGCTGGGAAGCTTTCTCCCTCCTTGATATAGATGGGAAAGCTAAGCTTCCAACTGCCTCGTCCCTAACTCCTCAGCAGAGAAACCAAACTCACCAGTTCTCACAGGTCCCAGCACAGCTCTCAGTGTATGTGGAGTTGAAACTGAAGCTACCCATCAAATTCATCTTTTTTATTTTTAACTAAAAATTTTACATGAGCATGAGAGTGGTCAGAATGATAGTGGGAAGTGGAGCCACCAGGAGAGCTATGAAGTCAATGGCCAAGGACAGCCTCGAAAGCTGTGTGAGCAAAGATTTAACGGGCCACTCTCCACCTTGCTAAGTGACTTATGACTTATATGTGATGAGTTAGCTCAGTACTCTGCTAGAAAAATGTACTTTGCAGAGAGAGGGAATGGGCTGGGTTTTCCCAGAAAGAAGACCCCTGAAACAAGTTTCAGCAAAACTAAGTTGTTTGGGATGTGATTCCAGGAAGCAGGAAGAAGCAGCAAATTACTGCTGCAGGCAGCTGGAACTTAATCCCACTAGGATAGTCTGAGTGCTGATGTAGAACACATGTGCCAGAGTGTCAGAGCCATCGCACCTGGGGACCCTAGGGATTCAACCCAACTCCAGCAGTCATCAGCTTAGGGCTGGGCCCAAGGCAGGTTCATACTGCAACACATAGAGCACAGCCCCCGGCGAAGAGATGTGGTGCAGGTACCAGGGGCTCACCAGGGACTTGAGTCCAGTCCCAGGGATGTGCAAGTGACAGTGCCTGCCACTGAAAGACGTGTCGGAAGCCTCTTCGGAAGCCTCTCAAAGGCTTAAAAAAAAAAAATAGAAATGTTCTGTTTGGGGGACAAAAACTCCTTCACTTTACAAACTTATTTCAAAAGGAAATTGAAATTCTACCCAAGGCTCTTTGGCAAAAATTTCTTCATAACCAAGAGGCAAAATATCTCCCAAAGCACAGTTCTTTTCATAGCTTGGTTATTCTGTATATTAAAAGAGAGAGAGATCAGAGCATGCTGCTAGTTCAGGTTTCTTTCTGTTAAACTGAGAATTAAAATACTTTGAAAACTACAAATCAATATCTAAATGTAAGTCGTTAGTGTTAATTTAATTCAGCAAACCTACAATGAGCCTGTTGAGTGGACGGCAAGGGACAGATAATAACAGCTACTTGTATCATTATTCCATTTCTCTACGATTGCGCTTAATCTCAGGGATCTGGTCCCACTTGTACTTGTTCACCATCCCAAATAATTAAAACTCTCTTTTTTCCATTCCAGTCACACTAACATGAAATGAGTCTTGGCCAAGAGACTATTTTGGACCAAGTCAAAGTCAAAGCCTCCTTTATCCCCCTTTCCCCCCTTAACTCAGTAAAATTGCCATGTGTTGAATCTACCATGCATAAGGCTTGGAGGAGAGGGACTAATAAGGTGCAGGCCTAGCAGGCAGGCTGCTGAGAAACCCACAGGTCAGTTAGGATGCAAGTAGGGAGAGCATCTCACAGGTGAGGGCAGGCATGTGGGGAAGTAGTTCATCTCTTTGTTGTGTGGTTCACAGCCCATGAGAATTTCAGATGTGTTTGCAGTGCTAATCCAAGACTGGGGTTGTGCTAAGTCTATGGCTATGGGGCATTTCTTCAGGAAAGTATGGAGTGTGGACAGAGTGGCAGGATTCAGAGCATGGGAGCAGGTGGGGGAGAGCATCTCCTCTTCGCTTCATAGGCCTGCTTTGCTCAAGTCACAAAGATGAAAATACGGCTAGCAGGCCTATAAAATCCAACGAGTATCTTCAAGCTGCATATTAGAGTTTGCTCAGGGATGGATGATGAAACAAGGATTGGAGCTCTTTACCTGTGAGTTCCAGCTAAATATGTCCAGACATCGCTTTCTTTTCATTATTCCCAAAATAATGCACGATTTATAACAACTATAGCATTTACATTGTATTATACATTGTAAGTCATCTAGACTTCTACAAGCATGTCCAGCGTGTGGTCTATGTTCTGCACACAGCACAGGGTAGCTATGAATGTGATTCAACACAAAATAGTAAATTTTC